GTGAGAACGTAGAACGGATTGAGGTGAGCAAGAAAGTCCTGTGCCGTTTTGCGATATTCGCAATAATAGTCGAGATATTAATTAAAAAAGATTGGTGAATGATCACGTGCAATATGGTAGATGAGCTGCAGTGGCGCCGTCTGCCGTTGTATACTTATATATTAAATCAAACTGAACAAAAAAGTCCTTTACCATTTTGTAAATTACCATATAGATTTTTAGATATTAATTAAAGAAAATTTATTCATTATGGTATACAATCATATATGTAACAATTTTCTTTAATATTTAAAAATCTATGTGATTATTTGCAAAATGGTAGAGAACTTTTTTGTTCAGTTTGATTTAATATATTAGTATACAACTGCAGACGGCCCCACTGTAACTCATCTACCATATCGCGCGTGATCATTCACCAATCTTTTTTAATTAATATCTCGACTATTATTGCGAATATCGCAAAACGGCACAGGACTTTCTTGCTTACCTCAATCCGTTCTACGTTCTCACCAAGGGTCATCATGGAGATTCGGGACATCCTGTATAATTGACTATAACCATATTGTCTTTTTATATTCAATATAATTTTAACATATATACTATATAGTATATAGTAGTAAACACACACATTCTTTTATATAATAGTAACATTACCATTTTCAGTCCACCATTCAAGACCTTTTCAACATCGACCAAACGGAGAATGATCCTTCGGCACGAATGGCAGAGGTACTGGAACAGAGCCGAGACCGGGAGAAAGTCTACAACAAGGATGCAGCATCCTTCCAGACTGCGTCTTCCTCGTCATCTCAGCATACAGAAGAGAAAGTGGCTATTGGCGCTCTCGAAAGTGCTCTCGCTGCCGTCGAGGAGGATCTTGACGTTCAGGCAGCGAAGACAGCGAAAGCGGAAGCAGTCGCTGATCTCGCAGAGTTTGACGAGAACATTCCGCTGGACGACGCTGACAGGGATGATTCTCAAGTCAGCAAGGCGGAACAGGAAGTTCAACATCTGGTTTCTCAGGTAGATAAATGTTTTCATCTCGAAATCTTTTTAGTTAATGTAATTAGTCGAGCACTTTTCACTTTCTTTCTCTCTCTTTCATTATCTTATTACAAACATTTTTCAGTTTAAAATTTTGTTTTATCTTTTTGATGCTCTTTTAATATTATATTAATGTAAAATATTTATTGTATTTTTCAAATAGAATAGGAAATGAAATTATAAAATCTCGAAAAATTAATAATATTTACGAATAAAATGTGCAATATTAATTCGACATTTTTTAAAACATAATGTGAATGAGGATAACCTTGCAAATTTTCTTTTAATACTCATATTTACTACATTCTTTTAATACTTAAATTTATAATTTACAGTATTTTTCCTTAAAAGTGAAAACATGGAAATGGAAAAGTTCTAAGTGAACTGGATTTTAACCATTATATAAAATTTTCAACTATAGATTTGGGAAATTCTTTATATGTAATACTTTGACATTTTTCATGTTTACACTTTTGGAGAAAAGTTATATGATCGCCACCCATATACATAAAAGAGATTGTCTCCAGAACAGTATAATGTCTAATGTATATTATTAAACAATTTTATTTACTTGCGTAACTTCTCGTGTCTTTATCTTGATATGTTTGTGTTCATCCTCAAAAGAAGATAAATTTGTATCCATATATATTACATTTTCAAACATCAATGTCTATCAATTAGTAGACAACAGTAGATAAACCAATATCAATTACAATTACTAATATTAATTATCTCGCTGATATTCTAACATTATTCTAACATTATTCTTACAATTGTTGAAATCTCTTCGCTTTACCATTCATTTTCTTTTATATATATATATATATTTTTTTTTATTACTAATTCGTGATTTGCTAACATTGCACTTATTCATCAGTTAACCCCGATCGAACGGTACGCGATGAGATTCATCGAGGAGTCCGAGGGGTCGTTTTCCACGGCGCAATTGGCTGCCGCCGAGCGCGAATTGGAGGAACAGAAGAAGGAATGGGAGCTGGACAGGCTGCGGGCGTTGCGTGAGGAGGAAGAGCGACGTATGCGACTGGCTGATGATGACGAGGAGAAGCCGCTGACGTTTGGCCGTGAGGACGCCCAAAATCAGGTTAATAGCACCGCTGCTAATAAGAGTGGTCCCAAGCGATTAGTTAATAAGAGATTACCGGTACCGAGTAGAAGAAGTTCGCGTAGACGCGGCGGCGGCGGTGGTGGTAGAAATAGAACTAGTAATAGGAGCGTGCGTGAATCATTATCGCGGAGCGAGAGTGAGACCTCGACTAGTACCGAATCGGAATCGGAATCAGAATCGCAGGAGGAGGAAGATGTGGTGGAAGATAGCCTTGACGAGGAGTCGAGTCATACAGAAAGTCAGAGTCAAGGTGACGAAGGCGAAGGAGAGGAGGAAGGTGACAAAGGTGATGACGAAGCGGAAGAGGAAGATGCTAGTGAAGAAAACGAAGATAGTAGAGCGAACAGTAACGGTGGTAACGACACCGAGAGAGGAGAGGGTCTTCCGAGACGAAGAGGTCGTTTGGCCGGTGGTAATTGTGGTCGCAATCACTTCGATCTAAATAGTCCTCGTACTAGATCCCGGGGCAACGTTAAGATCAATTTGTGGACCCTAGACGTTAGTCCTATTTTGCCCGGTGTAAAGCCCAATTGTCGTCGCCAACAACCACAGCGCAACACGAAATTCCGCCGCGTTAAATTCGGGGGTCGTCTCTCACCATCTTTGACACCGTCGGTGGTCATAACAAACGTTAAAAGAAGAACTCGGCTCAGTACGAACGCCAAGGCGATCTTAAATCAAAACGTAAAGACTGAGGTGGTAGAAGAAGAAAGAGAGTCGTCGAAGGACGATTATGATTCTACGAAAAATGATCGAGACTCTTCGTCAAAGAATGATCGGGCTTCCTTGAAAAACGATAATGATTCAACAAAGAACGATCAAGCTTTATCGAAGAATAATACATCTGACAATCGAAATTCGATGAAAAATGATCAGGATTCGTCGAAGGACGATGATTTATCGAGGGATCAAGATTCGATAAAGCACGATCCAAGTTTGTCTAAATGCGATCGTGATTCTAAGAAAGACAATCGAAGTTTGACAAAGAACAATCAAGACTCGTTGAAAGACCGTGGTTCGTCGAAGGACGATCGAGATTCATCGAAAGACGATCGAGATTCTTCAAAGAACAATCGAAACTTGTCGAAAGACGATCGAGACTCTACTACGTCTTCAAAAAGCGTAAAGGGGCACGTTGCTGACGTTGACACAGGACAACCTCTCAATGATCGCACAGATCCGACCATACCAATACCAATTGCTCAAACACAAGTGGATCAGGTGAAAACGACGGAATCAAAATCGGATAACGTAGAGCAAGGTGTTAAGGGAGAGAAAGAGAAAGAAAAAAGCAGCGATAAGCTCATTCGTAACATTAATCTAGTATCGACGGTCTGTTCTGTTCAAATGACGCGATGCTCACAAAAGTTAACATCCGCGACCTACAGGAAGCTTGGACCTGAAGTGAATCGCAACGAGGATGCGGAGAATCTCGACGTGAACGTCAACACGAAGAACTCTCTGGCTTCACCGGGCAGCACGCAGTCGGATGTATCGCTGAAGCGCGCGAAGGAGACTACGGCAACGCGCGACATCAAGTCCATAGCCGAGATCGTCGTGTCCGCAAATTCTTTGTTCAATAATTCACGAGTCAAACTGAACTCTGCAGGTTCAAAGGAGTCTGAAAAAAACAATGTTGATTCATCCGCGAATCGTTCAGTTCCTCTCTTACGTTCTAAGACATTGCAAAACGCAAGTCCTGACGTCTCGTCGTCGTCGTCATCATCATCGAATGATAAAATCGTTAAAACTACCGCGGTACTTCGTGTTTCTGTCGCGCAAAAGAATTCTAAATCCGGTAACGTGAATACCGACGATACTTCTTGCGTAAATGACGAAAACAACGCGCGACGTGGCGACGAGGACGACGATGACGATAACGTTGAGCCGACGACACCCATAACGCGAAAATATACTAGTCAAAAATATAATAATTCTAAAAGCGAGTCGGACTCGGAAAAGAAAACGGACGATCCAGTGTCGAACTTGGTGTCTTCTGACTCTCCAGCTATTACTTCGTCGAAGAACGAGTCTAACTCGAGCGATCCAAAATGCAAGATACGAAAAGTTGTGATAGACACGAGCATGATCTCGCGAGGCGTGACGACTCGCAGCTCGAAGCTCTCTCCGATCGCCGGGGGAACCACCAGTCGCTCTGAAGAGGGTAACGTGCGGTTGACAGACGACAAGGTCGATTCAGAGGCAAACAAGACTAGTTTACAGCAGGTCAAAGTAAATCAGAGTACGCGAAAAAACGACACTTCATCGTCTTCTGTTTCTTCTCCGCAGCAGCTCGTGACCGAACAGAGCAGAGTCACGCGATCGACGACCTGTCGTTCGTTTACGCCGCCACTAGTTGGCGACACGCGAAACTCCCCCTCGCGAATAACCATCATGAAACGTCGACCAGACACTCCGCTGCCTCGGCCGATCACGAGATCGGCAACGACTGTCGTTAGTTTCGGCTCCACGACAACGATCGACGACGCGACATCGGCTGTCATTGCCGCCTCATCATCGTGTCGAGGTGAGAAGTATGTAACCCGACAAAACTCAAAGTTGTCCTCGTGTCAGGACAACGGTTTCGTTAGTCCACCGCCGTTCAGACGCAGCAGATCGATACCGCCGATGAAGCCGGACGTGAGCAAGGAAGCGACGACGGGGATCGTTGCAGTGGAGCGAAGCCCGATTGTTCACCTTAAACGTCGTCCGGACACTCCGAGACCAATAAACGTTCCTACAAGCAACAACGAGCAGCCAGTTTCCAGAGTAACTCGTTCAGGCTTGATGAATTCCGTCGCGAAAGCATCTACGTCTCCGTCGCCGTCCTGCCCCTCCACCACGCTACGAACAAGCGGTAAACAGCAACAATCATCTCGAGGTTCTCCGTCGCGCGAACCGAGCGCGAACGAGAATACAGAGCAAGGCGCTAGGACACCTCCCTACGCGTTTGAAAAACCCCAACGAACGGCAAAGGTCGTCGCTATCCTTACTCTGGACACGAGAAACAATCACCAGCACCACAACAGCAAGGCTCCCTCTTCGATCCAACTTAAATCCGCCACTAACTGCGCTGGTGGCGCCAGTGGTGGTGGGAATCCGGAAGCGAAAGTACAGGACAAGGAGGTCTTTGTAACGCGGTTGTCAGAATCTCTGAAGGAACAAGAGGCCGATAATGAGGGTTACGACTCGTCTCCTGATTCCAAGTCCAAGAGGCTGCGCCGAGAGACTAAACGTGCCAAGAACGCGTCGTGTCTTGACAACGAGGACGGACAGCTTGATGGAGACGATGAGCCACCGTTGAAGAGAGTCGCCGTCCGCACTTCGAGCCATTGTTCTGCCGCTGCCACTTCCGCCCCCTCCACGCAAACTCAGACGCGTACTGAAAAACTGAGGAACACGACGATATCTTGAGCCTCGCTGAAGTTCAGTCGATTGTTGCTGTCATCATCATTATCGTCGTCGCCGCCACCGCCGCCGACGACGACGAAGACGACAATGACAACGACGACGACGACGACGACGACGACACGAGTTTCGTCGCGAACGCTGTTATTGTTATTCGAGTCGGTTACGAATAGTTCGCCTACCATTTGTGCATGACGTCGCCAGGTTTGCCCTCGACACACAATGCATTATCATCGCGCGAAGAGACACCCGGCTTTGTAGAGATATCTACGATTTTTCGCGCGTTGATAACGACGCGTTATCTTTCGTCGACACTCGCACCACGTTCAGCGCTAAACGCAGTCGTTTGGTCATCGAAGTATAGTGTTACGCGCGATCGCTTTACGCGAGGGAAAGTCTTACAAGATTTTCTCTTTATATATATATACACATACACATGCAAATATACGAAAAATGTTCAATGACGAAAACTCCATACGAGTAGAACTACACAGGGAAGAGAGCTCTGTGCAAGACAAAAGTTTCATGTGGTAGAGACCACGAAAGAGACGAACTTTGTGTGAAAAAATTTTATGCGAGAAAGATTACTCTTGTAGTGTCCCTGTGAGAGGAATTCTCTCGTGAACGCAGAGAACTGCCACGGAAGGAAAAAAAAAATGCAAATTAAGTGCACGCGTTTGACGTTGAACGCGAAGCGCGAGTGCACGCGTCTCCTTTGTACATAATCACAAATACGACTTACGATTTAAGCGATGAGTTTCCTCCGTTGTACTCCGGGTACACGTGTAATATTTGTAGCGTTGTAAATTGTGCTCTGTGACCGCCTCGCCGCCCCACTCATATCGTGTCATCTCATCTCATTTCATCTCATCCAATTCGGTTCACACAGATACCGGGACGGGTCCGTCCTTTTTAACTGTACTTTCTATTTTAATTTGTCGTTTCCTCGTCCTGATTCTTTTCTCCTCGGGGCAGATAGCTGCAACTGAATTGTAGGGGCGAGTGCAGATAAGAAGGACCGATTCTTTTGTGCGCAGGTATCTAGACTACTTGCGATCTATATAGCCGTATTATTGACGGTGTGACAAGAAATACGAGCGGGTGTATTATATTAGGAAAAGTGGTCATGTTACATACACACACACATACAGTGTGTAGAGCTTTAGTCGAGCGATTCTCTAGTGTGCCACACTAGACGACTCGTATCACACATACACACACACATACACCTTAATAGTGAACACGTCGCGATCGAGACGCATAGGAAAATCTGAAGAGGTTGTTGAAGTATGTGTTGCGCACGGGTTGAGTCGACTCGATTTTACCCTGATCATTTTCGCTGTCTGATACGGCGATTCAAATTTTTGAAGTCATAGCGTGTTGCCTAGATTCGTTCTTTTTCTTCTTACCTTTTTCCGAAAGGTGATATAAAGGGAACTAAATTAGATGACACACTTGCGTGATTAAAAGTAGTCACAATTAAAAGTACGGTATCTCAAAATGATCGTAATGCCGCTTTTTTCAAGTTCTTTTCTTTCTAGAACAATTGAGAATTTGATGCGAAAGAGTTTGGTTTATAATGCATTTTTCTGAAAAGTTCAGAAAATAAAAGTTTGAATGAAATCTATGCCGAAATTGGGAAGTAGTCAACTAAATTATTACATAAATATGTATTTAATGTGATATACGTAATAATGAAAATAAATTTGAAATTAGTATAATATTGAACTAGGAATAATTGAATAATTGATACTATATGAAATAATTGTAGCACTATTCTCTTAGAGAACTGAGTTCTCAATGTCCCAAAGCAATTGTTAATGTGCTTTGCTATCAAATTAAAATCACGTATTATATATATATATATATATATATATGTATATATATACATACATACATTCATACATATATATATATTTGTGTATTTGAATTATTTCAAGTCAATATATTTCGCTCATTCGATCATATATTACGTGCATATATCTACCCGATCTAATTTAAGTTGTTTAAAACGAGAGAAGAGTTTAGAATCTTTTCATCTAGGAGACAGTGGGTGGTCAGGGTGATAGAGAGTCACGTAGTTTCTGTACCGGACAATTATTTATTCGGTAGAGGAAGTGAACAGCGAGCAGTCGAAACGAGGAAAGACCTTAGTCATACTTTGGTAACGCCTCGCGCTACATAAACTCGCAAGACAATGACCTGATTATTAATTAATATTATATATGTAAGGATAATCTCCCCCCGCCCCGAACGATGTCCCTCCGCTCTTTCCACTTGCCTCTCTCGCAACACACCACATATAAGAGGACACATGTATACATACCACACATACCGTAATACTTAAGTTGCGTGCCTGTATTTTGTATGAAATCGAGCGAGTTCGATGAAGGAGGAAAGAAATAAACGAAATATTCCTTGCTACATCGAAATGTGTTACCTTATTTCTTGATGCGTTTCCAAGTCTGTGTCGATCAAAGGTTCAGTTCCGTTTTGGTGTCAAAAGTCATTCTATATATACATATATACATATCTCTCTCAGCTCAGTGTGCTTGTTTATATTTATCGCGAATTATTAAAACGACGATTGGTTCTTTTACATTCTCTTCGCGCTATCTTATTATTATTCTCTTACATTTATGTATATATATATACATATACATACATACATACATATGTATCGGTTTGGTGTGGCAAGGCTATCATGACCGCACATTTTTGAAATGGAATAGAAAAATATGTACCATCTTAGTACGCGTGAGTAAAAATGAGCTCCAGCGAGAAAATTATTTATAAAAATGGCACCAAAACACTGCCTTTGCCATTCCAAACTTGGAGTCAGCAGCAGGTTATAAGCAGGCACATGTGAGCGTCTTCTACGCAGTACGGCTCTCGCTTTTGTAGAAGATAACGTCCGGAGATTGCGTTTGACAAATTAGAAAGACCCGTGTGTAAGATCCCGGGATTCACTTGTACGTATCGAGATATACCAGATTAGTACATTAGAGATACCAAACATAATATTATGAAAAAAAAGAAAAAAAAAGTCATAAACATAATGTGGACCTCAGATACGAAAGAATATATATCGTAAGACAATTTTGCTCTTTAGAATGTTTACGATGAGGGGAACGAGAGCCTTTGAACGAACGTTTACAAAATATCCCGTAAACTCTACTCTTAATTCTCATTCTTATGACGGATTTTGTTGCTAAATTTATTTTTTTTCAAGAAAAATTACAATTCGTGTCTTAATAATTGAAGACAAATCAATTTAAAATCTAATGTCAAAGTTGAAAATTGTAGGATCTTATATAGCATTAGTCTTCTCCTCCAATTTTTCTACAAGTCCTTCATAGTTGTTTCAATCAAACACTGAAATCAATGATTAGTTCCAAGTTGAGACCATCCAAGTACGGACGGTTTTTTTTTTCGGATTAACCATATCGGTGAAACTGCATAAAAGGTAACACAGCACCGAATTTTTTCTTTTTGAAATATGTTATAGAGAGAATTAAATTCTGAGTAACTTTTTCCTATACAACTATATGGCAGTCGCATATAGTTTCGGAGATATTTGACTTTAAAATTTTGGAAATGTACATGTATTATAAATTGACTATTGTATTTTTATATAGATATATTATACGCAAGATCATAGGAGATCATAGGAGATAAGTCCCCTTTTCTTTAGGTTTACCTAAAAAAATTTATCATTAATATTAATATATAATATTAATATTTATCATTAAACTCCATAAATTGCCCGAAACCTGAAGTGTTTTTCTTTCCGTTATACAGGGTGTCCCATTTTAAAAAACGCATCCTGATAATTCTTCAGCCAAATATATTCAGCAAAAATATTTCAAACAAAAGTTGTCGGGTTTAAAAAGGAATATATGAGGGTGACCTTGACTTCGAAGGTTATTCGAATGTCAACTTTGCTTTTTAAATAGAAACATCTATTTTTTTATTACGGAATTTTATTCTATGTAGAAACTAATAATTTTTTTTTTAAATTTTTTGTACGACCTCTATTTGGTAAGATATTTACGGAAATATCTACATATAATTATTGGTTTCAATAATTTTTTACTCCAATTTTATCAACTTTACCAAAAAATAGCAAAAAACAAAAATTGTTTATTTTCTTCTCACAGAGCTCTGAGAATTTTTTCAGAATTTTTTATAAACTTTTTAGTATTTTAAGAAAATGCTAGAAAATACAGTACTAAGAAATTAATTAAAAAATTCTCAGAGCTCTATGAGGAGAAAATAAACAATTTTTATTTCTTGCTATTTTTTGGTTAAGTTGATAGAATTCGAGTAAAAAATTATTTAAACCAATATTTTTGTAGATATTTCCGTAAATATCTTAGAAAATAGAGGTCATATAAAAATTTTTTTCAAACAAAAGTTGTTAGCTTCTTTACGCGGAATAAAGCTTCGTAATAAAAAATAGATATTTCTATTTAAAAAGCAAAGTTGACCTTCTAATAACCTTCAAAATAATCTCCAAGGTCAAAGTCAAGGTCACTCTCAAATATTTCCCTCTAAACCCGACAACTTTTGTCTGAAACATTTTTGCTGAATAATTATCTTGGTTGAAGAATTATCAGGGTGCGTTTTTTAAAATGGGCACCCTGTATATGTGTATATATATATATAAATTGATTTATTTTGATGCTATTCTCTTCAAAAACGCAGCGTTTGGATAATAATAATTTATTTAGACATTATACAACGTTGATAGTACTTACAACTTAAAAAAAAACACTAGTATGCGAACTGTAAAAGTACTTTACATTAAAATATTCGACTTTAAAGTTTACATGTTATAAATGGACCTAACTCTTCAGTATTTCCAACTAGAAAAAGTTTTTGTTTACATTACTTAACGATAGCTTTATAGTCACAAATGTTATGTCAGCCATTAGTTTCTCACAGTTCGTGAGTAGCCTTTAACATGCGACTACACGAATTCCTATGCGTATGTCTGTATAAAAATGGAATTAAAAAGAGAGAGAATTCCAAAGATATAATCAAAAGATATAATCAAAAACTAAAAAATAAAGAAAAAAAGAGGTTAATAGGAGTTCAGGCACAGAAGTTGTAGATATAAATAAAAAACTAAAAAATAAAGAAAAAAAGAGGCTAATAGGAGTTCAAACATGGAAGTTGTAGTGTTATGTAGATGAAAGTTCCTTATGTTGGGAAACAAAGCAATTTGTTGAACATTTAAAGTTTAACATCAAACGTTTCGGTTCATCCATGGACTCTGTTTAGTGTAACAAGTAATTCTAAATAAAACGGCATCAAGAATTTTACAAAATAGACCTTAAGATTGTTCGCAACCGTCCATAATAATAAAAGTTATTCTCCTCCTTTGAGACTTGGAGGATTACCTGCAATAATATCGTTCTTATCTTAAGGTTTGGCCCCTATACTACGTCCAAAACTACGACTGCTGCACTCTACTAAGTACTTCTGCGAATAACTTCTATTACGGACGGTGAAGGCAGGTTTCAACACAGACTGGAATTAACACTGTTTTCACTGTTTCTGATTTTATGTCTTGCAATTCTTTCCTTTCAGTCTTGGTTGCGAACAATCTTAAGATCTATTTTGTAAAATTCTTGATACCGTTTTATTTAGAATTACTTGTTATACTGAAAAGAGTTCATAGATGGGAACGTTTGATGATACACTTTAAATGTTCAATAAATAATTGCTTTTTTCCCCAACACAGGGAACTTTCACTTATATCCATAGGTTTTATAGCACTATAACTTCCGTATCTGAACTCCTATTTGCCCCTTTTTTTCTTTATTTTTTAGTTTTTAAAAATGGGATATTTATAACATGTATATTTTCAAAACTTTAAAGTCGAATATCTCTGAAACTATATGCGACCGCCATAGTTATATAGGATAGTTGTATAGGAAAAAATTACTCAGAATTTCATTCTCTATAACATATTTCAAAAAGAAGGAAATCGGAGCTGTGTTATCTTTTATGCAGTTTTACCACGATAAATCTCCAGTTTAGATAAAAATCTATAAGTTGAATTTGTTCGTATTAAAGTTACAGATTTTAGATTTATTTTGATTTATCTTGATCCGTTTAATCATTAAGTGCGAATATATAATGTTTATAGACGAAAAATTTATATAAAATGGGCGTTGATCGATAATGATATTAAAACAATTTTGTGTCGATATATTTTTGGGAAAAATAGTATGGGAGTCCTAAATAAGGATTTCCCCAGAAGTGAGAGAGCTCCTATGTGTCTCATAATGTCTCATGTTTGGCTTTAACGTCTTGCAGATTTGGTTGTCAGAACACACGATGGAGCAGATGCCGGTATGTATTACGAAATTATGCATTTCTGTTCATTATTGCATGAACTGTCGGTGTAAAATTTAAATAAACTTTTGCATGATTAATTTATCACATAGTACTCAAAACTAATTTTGTTGCAAAGGTTCCCGAAAGTCTATAAAACATATACTGCAAACTTAAGGAATATAGTATATTAAATCTAAAATTAAGAGAGAGAACATATGCCATATTGGCATACATATTAAGAATGTATTAAATGCAATAAAGGATTAGAAAGAGTTATAACTGAAATTGTTCCTCCGAGAACGCAGTTAATTACATTAATATTTTCTTGATAGATGTGGTGTCCACCAACACCTCCCACGACGGATAATGACGTGTACATCGACTATTCTCTGGGATTTCTCTACGAAAATACTCCCATGTCGGAGGCGCAGTTACCACCGATCTACATTAAGAAAGAACGGAAAAGATGCAGAGTTGACGTTGGTATCAGCGAAGACGGTGAGTCTTACTGTTATTCTCGTTACTCTCCTCTTTTGTTTATCCTCTTATGTTCCCTCTGTATTTCCAACAGCTGAACTGGCTACCTTACCAGAAAAGTACACTGAACTAATAATTTCCCGGGGGAAAAAAGTTCATATATGGATTTTGTCCATATATGATTATATATAATTATATATGTCTACGTCAAAAAGAATAGTGTTGTGAAGATACAATTGAAATAAATGCTTTCGTTTATGATAGCCTATAATATCGATGTTTAATTGAATTGAATTATATTTTCTTTCTTTCATTCAACAGTATTTGTTTTATGTATAGACATGTATATTTAAATATGATCATATGTAAGGTCACATATATGGACAAAATTCATATATAATATATAAAATTCATATATATATAATATCATATAATTATGTTTATTGTATATATGTGTGTATATATACATATAAATATGCAGGGTTGGAAAGTAACTCGTTACTTGTAACGAAGTTACAGTTACAGTTACATTTTTTGATAACTGTAACTTAACTTAGTTACTTATTTTTAGTAATTTGTAATTCTTTTAACAGTTACTTTAATAGTTACTTAGGGAACATAAAATTAAAATTATATAGTAATCGTATATTAATTTAATAACCCAAATAGCACAGAGAATTAAAAAAGAATTAAAAAAGAATCCAATCGTATGTCACCAATTTTGAGTTCATTTTCAGATGCAAAAAGAATTCTTTAGAGTTCAGTGAAAAGAATTCTTTTTGCATTTAAAAATGAACTCATAATTGGTAACATACGATTAAATTTTCTTTAACTTCTCTGTACTATCTGGGAAATTTGTCAACGTATTTATGGAGCATGTAATTAAATTCTTTTACCTCTACAAGGCGATCATTATTAAGTTTTTATTATATTAACTACAGATTTGAAATTTGTTAAGCGGATTGACTAATTAATGTGATAGTTATTAATTATAAAATTAAATTCTTATATTTTAGTAAAGTTTAAAATATAAGATTTTTATATTTACAATAATAATTTATAATAATTTTAAGAAAGTAACTTAAAAGTAACGACTTGTACTTTTTTAATAACTGTAACTATAACGAGTTACTTTTCATAGCCAGTAATTTGTAACTGTAACTAGTTTCAGTAAAGGGAACTGTAACTGTAACTAGTTACTTTTAAAAAGTAACTTTCCCAATCCTATAAATATATCTCTTTATAATTACTCTTACTTGCCCTGATTTAATTCGATTCAGTTGTAATGCAGTTTTCAGTATAGCTATAAAAAATAGATCTATTAATGATAAATAAATAAATTAATAAATAAATAAGTTAATCCGCCAATTTTAATCATTTTTACAATAAATAACTAATTACAATAATCTAGGCTCAACAAGAGATAATATAAATTACAATAATAAATAAGGACGTAATAATAAATAAAGAGCCAAAGTTGCTGATATTATGAGCTACTTACGAAAAATTTATTTAATTCATAAAATACGTTTTGACCATTTTATGTGGTCCTCTTCGGTTTAAATCGGTCAGTATAATCTCTTATATCATAAGTCCCCTAATGGTGGTGTCATATTCTCGAATATCGTCACAAACTGTTCCCCCTGACATGTCAGTATTCATAAGTTATATATGAGGAAAAAAGAAAAGAAAGAAGAGAGCAAAAAAGAAATAACCGCAAAAATCGAACAAAACCAATATTGAAAAAAATAATAAAAAGTTACAATTATTATGATAATTATTTCCGGAAATAAGGAAAAGCTCTTGCACAATCTATAAGTTCGAAATTCTAAAACGACTTTACTTGACGGACACGAAGTTTGAACAAGAATCAAACATTGGCATATAAAGGTAAGGCAACACAGAGAAACAATCAGAGACAGCTAAGCAAAAACACAATCAGTAAACACAATCAATCCAAATACCAGATATGTATTTGGAAATTAGAAACGAAAGAAGAAAGTAAGATCAATAAAAGTTAACGTTTTACATGAATCATTTCAAACAGAGGAAAATAAACACGATCAATTTTGCCAGTATCAAATTGAAAGTTCAAGCCGTTGACCCGACATGTCAGGTGGGAACAGTCTGTGACAGAATTCGAGAATATGACAACACTATCAGGGGATTTATGATGCAAGAGATTTATATTGACCGATGAAGAGGACTGAAGAGAACCACATTAAATAGTCGAAACGTATTTTATGAATTAAATAAATTTTTTGTATGTAGCTCATCAACAATTTTGGCTCTTTATGTCCTTATTTATTATTGTAATTTTATCATCATTTTATTTCATTTTATAATCATTTTATTTCATTTTATCATTTTAATTATTTTATTTTTAAAATTTAGGTTGTCGACCATCAAAAATACGACACAAAGACGATTCCATGCATCCGCCAAAATCGTTGTTCGAAAGACCATTACCCATGTTGATGAAGATACGTCGCGAAATGAAGATGCATAAATATCGGACGATGATGCGTCCACCGGTGCCCATGTTGGGCGTCAAAACTCCATCATCATCAAAGACTTGTGAGTCGGATCAACCAGTGGAGTGGATGATAAACGAGGAATGGCTACTGCTACAAGCCATTCAAGTGTATCAGGCACAACCGGTGAACTTGATAATGGTGTCGCCTAGTTACGTACCCAATTGGGATCTCGTCTCCGACATTGTCAACAATGGTTCGCGATTGTTCAGATCATTTAAGCAGTGCAGGATGCGATATGAGGCCGTGGTGGAGCCACGTGAAGAGGGCAAGTTGCTCTACGACACCACGCCGAAGAAGCAGAAAAAGCAAAAGGGAAGCGTGTATAAGACACCGCAAGTTACCGAGGTAACCAATAAAAGCACCAAAGAAATTGTTAATAACGCCATAAATTGTTGACGACTTCTTTCGTTTTTCTTCAGCAACAGAGCAAAGGTAACAGACCGTTGAGGACGTCACAGCTACAAAACCAGGATAGGAACCAATCGTTCACACAGATGAACATTCAGAAGTTCGAAATCTTCAAAAATGTGTCCAACAAACGTACACCGACCGTAAAGCCGATGGTGGTGACACCATCGATGAAGAATCCTAACAACGCGGCTGTATTGGCCGATTATGGCATACAATACGACAATCCTAAGACGTGTGAAGAGGTTGCTCAAATTCGCATTGATAGACTCAACAAGGAGAAATTGAAACAAGCTGTGTGTATATTAGAACTTACTTTATATATTAACAAAAATATTAATGTTATTAAAATGTTATATATTAATTTAAGATTTATATTGAATTAATTCATCTGTATATCACGTAGTGCATGTAGATTATTTAATTGAACATACTTTGAACCTGCTTTCGAATTAAACTATATTAAATTTTGAGACTAATATATACATCATTTATGAAAGCAGGATATAATTTTTAAATCCAAAGAAACTCCCTGTCTATGGATTATAGGTCCTGGACCCGTCGGAACGAATGCAGCATGTGGCGGCACGTCTGCTTCAGCAACAACAGATGCATCAGTTGAAGTTGCAACAGCAACAACAGCAACAGCAAACCCAACAGCAGACGGCCCAGCAGGTAGTGTCGAGCTCCGCAGGTAGTGCCACGTCTCAAGTTCATCAATTAGTGCAATCGACGATTACTGCGGTGGCCAACACCGGTGGCGTTACTAAGGTCGTGACCAGCAACGCGACATCGAACAACGTTGCAACTGGTAGTAACCCAGTAGCTACTACTGTGAAGGCTCGACCAGGAACAGCAGGAGGAGGACAGCAGTCTATACAAGACGCTAGAACGACATCCGCGGTAGCGGTAGCAAGTATCGGGAATGTGCAAACTGCACAACGGATCGCGACTGCCAGCTTGGTGTCTGCCGGTCAAAGTTCCGCGGCAACAGCAACAGCGGTGGCACAAAAGGTGGTAGGCGTCACACTAACTGCTACTCCTGGCACCAAAACAATGACAACAGTTCAGTTACAATACTACCGCCAGCAGCAAATGTTGATGCGACAGCAGCAACATCTGAAGATGCGTGAAGGGATGAATGTGAGTGGGAATACTTCGATGGCATCGGTAATACAATTATTAATATAATCCTTATAATTATTCATTATATATATATAATTGAGATATAATTATTAATTATTAATAATTACAATAGAAGATAATTTATACACAAACATCAATAATACAAATAATAGTATTAGGGATAAAAGACAATTGTTTATTAAGATATGTGTAATTAAGATTCATTCAGATATTTCTTAATTTAAGAAAATATCTTATAGGAAATTCTAAAATGGTTTATGTGTTAAGGCTATATATTAACATGTGTATATAGGATGCGGCTGAAATATTTATCCAGAAGAAAATAGCAATATCTATCTTTAAACACAAGAGACCTGATAGTAGAGAGAAATTCTTTTATATTGATTTCACCGTAATTCCTAACAAATCTAGAAACTTTGCGTTAATAATCTTATTATAATTTCAGGTATTACACGCGCAAGGAGGCAGTGGTCAAAAGGTTTCAGTCGCAGTATCAGCTACCGCAGCGCAACAACGAGCGGCAGCGGCCACTTTAATGAAACAAGGTATCGCTGTAGGAGGATCCGTCGCGCAAACTGCTGTAGGTAAACAGGCTGTAGCAAGAACTGTGTCCGAAACGGAGATGGCTGCATTGATCAAACGTCAGGCGCTGCAACAGCAAGCAAAGGCGGCTGCAGCAGCTGCGGCAGCGGTTGCACAGGTACAAGTGAATGAGAGTGAGTGAGTGAGTGAGTGAGTGAATGAGTGAATGAGTGAGTGAGTGAGTGAATGAGTGAGTGAATGAGTGAGTGAGTGAGTGAGTGAATGAGTGAGTGAGTGAGTGAGTGAGTGTGTGAGCGAGTGAGTGAGTGAGTGAATGAATGAATGTGTGAGCGAGTAAATGAGTGAATAAATGAATGAATGACTTGATTCACTTTCTAGTAAAAAGGTAATGAGAAAAGTTAGACACATGTTTATAACGCGCGTAGTATGACTAATAGATAAAATAAAAATGTATGATTCAGTTATTGATACATACTGAGTACAGACAGAGCTATATGTCTTTTTGTCTCGATTTTTCAAGTTAAACATGATAACTTTATTCATAAAAATCGTTCGTAAATATCAAAGAGATTTTCTATGAATTACGGTAATCTTGAAATGTGGATATGAACGTTTTCGAATTCGAGATAAATATAGCTGTTGCGTTTGTAAATTTTATTTCTCTCGATATACGTCACAAAAGAAACTAATTGCATAATTGAATATAATAACCGTTGACGAATAATCACAATTTCGTTGCAGGTACCTGCCCAAACAGGACTGTCACCAGCACATATTTTCGCGCAAGCGGGTTTACAAGTGCAACAAGCGGGCACTTCAACAAGCGGTACTCCAGTAGCCACCTTGGTGAAGACTACTAACGTAGCTGGTGTACGCACCGCAACACCTCAACAAATTCGTCAACTCGCGCTACATCCACAACTCCTCGCTCAACGGAAGCTACCGACGCAGAAAGTCGCTCAATTGGCTCAGGTAACTGGTAAAAGTGGCGTACAAACGCAGCTAATTGTGCAACAAAAATCCTTGGCCGCGGCCATGACGGTGCAGCAAATTCAACAGGTGATGAAGCACGTACAGCCTTCTACGATGCAACAGTTCGCTCATGTACGTAAATCACTGTGTATATATTATTTTTAGAGCTAACATTCGAAGGACCTAACAAAAAAACATTATTACTTATATTTTCTATTATTATTTGTTTTTTATTAAGTTTGGAAAATTTAATATATTATAAAGATAATTATAAAAATAAAACCATATATAAAACACACTATTATTTATATTTTCATGTTTACACACACACACACACACATATATATATATATATATATATATATATATATATATATATATATATAAACACGAATCAGTAAAAATATTTGTCGGTAAGAAATTATCGGTAAATATATATATATATATATTTTTTTTTTACCGATAATTTTTATTGTGTGTGTGTGTGTGTGTATGTGTAAACATGAAATGTATATATGTGTATGTATGTATGTATGTGTGTGTGTAATAAACGCGAAAATACGACATTAAAGAAAGCAACAACGTGACAAATATTAAATTAGACAAATATTTTTACCGATTGCATCTTAATTAATTGAGAAAAATAGAAGAATCTTGCTAATACTCGCATCTATCTTATTACAATTACAGGTTTCGGCGGGTCAGGCAGTGTCTCAGGCCAGCCAAGTGGTATTAGCTAAATCTCCGTTGCAGACACGCGTAATACCTGTCGCGTCCGGTGCTCTAAAGCAAACCATTCAGGTCGTGACTGCTAGCAACGCTCAGCTAAGACAGGCCACACCTATCCAGGGAAAACCTTTGACAAGTAGTACTGTCAGACGTAGTCCTGGTCCGGGTCCATCACCGGGTCAATCACCGATCCCGAGTTCTTCGACTACCGGCACTGCCGCTAGCTCCGGGTCAACCAACAGTCCAGGAACTAGTTCTGCTTCCACTTCGAACATGTCTTCAACTGCATCTGCACTTGGTCAAGTGAGACTGCAGGGCATTACGCACTCGCAGCAACAGCCGCAACAACAGCAGCAGCAGCAACAAGCTCAGCAAGACACTCAACCGAAATAGTTTTCTTGTCTTACGAACGAAACATATGAATTGAATCGGGAAATGCGATAGGTCCTACGTGTTCAGAGAACTGGGCTTAATTTATTACAGGGCTCGAAACAGTTTGCCAATTTCAGCCGATTCTCGGGAGCTACGCCTTCTATTTTCCTCTTGCCACGAGCGGACCATAAAAGTGACGGTCAAGCTTCCAAGCTAGACTGGCCGCGACCGTCACTTTTGTGGCCCGCCGCGCGGTAAGGGGGAGATAGAAGGCGCAGCTCCCGAGAATCGGCCGAAATTGGCAAACTATTCCGAGCCCTGAATTATTAGTTCATTATATCTAACACACAAACATTAGTTGTACCATCAATATTTAATATATTAACATAGTAGAATGTTAATATACTAATACTTATTGTATATATGTACATACATGTTATATAACATATGTGTAGGTATATGTATGTATGTGTACATACACTAATATAACATGTTATGTAGCCTGCATGTACATTATATATCTGTGTATATAAATATAACACTTTACGTTTCTATCTAATATTGACTGAGGTATTCTGGATTGAAAGAGATCAGAGACAAATATCGGCAAAAGTGAAATTTTGTTTAATTGGGATATTCTAGTCACTGGTGAAGGAAACATTTTATTGAAAAGAAAATATTGTTTTACTGAAAGTATGTATTAGCTTAGGTACGCAGGTTTCTCAAAGTTTTCCGATTCAATTCGATCTTTTAAACGCGCTATTCATTTTTCCTTTTTTTTCAAAGTCACTGATAATTCTACTGATAATTCTAATGTGCGACGTTAAAATTTGACGTAACAATAGTATAATGTACATCCGAAGTGTAAAGCATTCCAAGGTTTTGCTGCGATCGATCAATTTTATTTCGACGTTACGATTCATATTTAGACACAAGAATAATTATTCGTTTGACAGATCGGCATTATCCGTTTAGTTTGTACGTGATAATTTTGTTCTCATGTGCCTCGATATAATTACAAAAGATATTAATAACAAACGCTTTAACATTTCTAAAACAAAAGTTAGAGCTCTTGACAAGATAGTGCAATGTGGTGAGAGAACAATCGTTTTATCTAAGATATTTCGCTTATGTTTATAAGTAATTCGAGAAACATACAGATGCTATCTTATTTGAATGTTTAGGTCTCCTGGCCTTTCGCCAAGACCATTTTGATTTATAATAGAAGTGAAGAAATGCATGGCCAAAATTCCTACAAAGTATGTTGAGGTGAAAAGATATATTAAAAAAGTGACACTTGCAATCAATTAAGCATACTTCTAAAATAATACTCCCCAACACTTTCTTTTTACTCTAATAATCAATAAACAACAATAAAGTTAACAAGTGACAAGATAATAAGAAAATATAGGTTAAAAAGGAAAGAAGACATGTCATGTTAATTTATAGTTATTTATTGATTGTTAGAGCAAAATGTTCGGAGTATCTTAGAAGTGCTTAATCGATTGCAAGTGTTATTTTTATATATATCTTTTTATTTTGACGTACTTTGCAGGAATTTTGGATATGCATTTTCTCGTTTCTTATTAAATAAAAATTCCGCGATGAGGTGCCGGAAACCTTAATCTTGTGCACTGTTGTTTTTAATTGAGAAGATATTTCAACTTAAATTAACAAAATACAATCGTTAGATTCAAGTTTCGTTTGAACGCGTTATATTACATACACCATTTCATCATTGTATCTTCTGTCTGTCTTTCTTTCGGGGCACCTTGTATTGTGCGTGTATGTACACAGTTGTATGTATATATGTATGTATAATTTGCGTATTATAAGTGCTGAAATAAATCTCTATGAAGAGGAACTATGTCTTCTGTATTTATATATATCGAAATTGCCGGAAAATCAATTGTCTACTAAAAATAATGTTTAATTCGCAACGAGCAATGAGCTTTTTTTAATTACTAATTTTTGTCTTGAAAATACCATCTCAAACTGTCATTTAGCGGAAATATCTACTCGGTATAAAAATACTATAGTTTATACATATTTGCTTTGCTATGAGATAAATTATGAATTTGATTAGAAAAATACTGAAATTTTATATTTAATAATTTCAATAAATAATATTACTATGTAAAAGATTAGTGTTCAAAATTTGAGGTAAAATATACAGGGTGTTCCGTAAGTCGAGGTCAATCGCTCGGGAGATGAATAGGGAACCAAAAACAAGAAAGAAAGTTGATACATAGGTAAAAAAATGCGTTGTTTTCGAGTATAATAGTATTAACACAAGTTAAAATCAATAAAGTATCAACGATAGGAAAAATCTAAAATTCTCACTGTTATTAGATTTGAGGCTTTCACGGCCATTGATACAATGTCTAGATATAGCTTCCGGAATGGAGCCGTGTCTTGAATCAGCGATATGCCTATTGATAGCTCCATTCCGGAAGCTATATCTAGACATTCTCACTGTTATCTTCGAACGCAGAACGCAACATGTAATTATTATTAATCTTCGCCTTGACGAACACGTTTGATTGCTTTGATCATGAAAGTTTAAGTAGCATTGTAATCAGATGCATAAGGAAATAAGACATATTTCGAAGTTTTTATGAGAAATTTTTATTACTGAGAAAATAAGACATACGTCGAAGTTTTTAGGAGAAGTTTCTATTTATTATTGTAATATATGCAAGATTATTATTTTCGAACGATAATCAGTAAATTTAAATAGTGTCAGAACATATGCTGTTTGCTTCGCGGCAATATACGGGATTTCTCGCATAAAGCGTCCAAGAAAAAAAATATAGGTAGAACAGATAAAAGTAAAAAATTAACAATATACAATCAAAATTAACAATAACAAATATTATATAGATCATTTTTCAAACAATTTCGAGATATTAATTAAAATAGTTGGGCATATCAGAGCGCGGCGACGCGGCAGGCGGGACATACAATTCGCCGCGACATATCAGTACATCAATTTGTTCAGAATTTTTATATCGATTTTTTTACAGAATGTAAAGACGATATTTTTATATATGAAATATTTTTGTGTTCTCCTCATGTATACAAAGTGCACGATATTGTGAGAAAATAATGTGCTTAAAAAGTATGTGCTAATAAATGTAAGTATGTGCTAAATAAGCGCAGAAAATTTAAGTGAGACAGCCTACATTTTTGTTCACAATTTGTCTATTACAGAGTTGTCATTTGTTGAGCACGTAGAGACGAATTATATCGCATTGGTTACATTATCATTTAACCTGCATCATGATATTTTACGAGTGCAGTATTGAGTATCTTAATATGTGTTGGTACAATCTACTACGCATACGCAGAACGCAACATGTAATTATTATTAATCTTCGCCTTGACGAACACGTTTGATTGCTTTGATCATGAAAGTTTAAGTAGCATTGTAATCAGATGCATAAGGAAATAAGACATATTTCGAAGTTTTTATGAGAAATTTTTATTACTGAGAAAATAAGACATACGTCGAAGTTTTTAGGAGAAGTTTCTATTTATTATTGTAATATATGCAAGATTATTATTTTCGAACGATAATCAGTAAATTTAAATAGTGTCAGAACATATGCTGTTTGCTTCGCGGCAATATACGGGATTTCTCGCATAAAGCGTCCAAGAAAAAAAATATAGGTAGAACAGATAAAAGTAAAAAATTAACAATATACAATCAAAATTAACAATAACAAATATTATATAGATCATTTTTCAAACAATTTCGAGATATTAATTAAAATAGTTGGGCATATCAGAGCGCGGCGACGCGGCAGGCGGGACATACAATTCGCCGCGACATATCAGTACATCAATTTGTTCAGAATTTTTATATCGATTTTTTTACAGAATGTAAAGACGATATTTTTATATATGAAATATTTTTGTGTTCTCCTCATGTATATAAAGTGCACGATATTGTGAGAAAATAATGTGCTTAAAAAGTCTACTAATCATAGATTATCGTAAACGGTTACCGATTACCGATTCTTTGAACCGGTAAATTACCGGTTACTGATTCTTTGAAACGATAAATGCATTACCAAGTGCAAAAACGCAACCAATTCTTGGGAATGCTTATTAGAAGCTTTTCCTCCAAAGAAATTTTAACGGTAATATTAGCGTTTATATATTTGTTAATATTACAGACGAATAATACAAATTTTGCAAAGATAAAAGTAAAAATTGATAAAATTATAGAGAGTTTCAAATTGGCATCCAAATCATTCACTGTAGTAAATTAAATTTACAATAAAGCCATTGAAGAGTGATAATCTCTTAAAAGAAAATAATTAAAGACGTTTCATGAAAGTAAATCAAACGTTATTATTTCAGAATAAAATTATTTAACATTAATTTTTAAAAAATATAATATAATTAAATATAGAAAATTATTTAACAATAACATATTTCTGAAATATGGAAAGATTTCAGAATTCTTGAACAGTATAACTTTGCTCACGGATATTTACCCGTCTCCATTTCGATTTTGGTTGGGCAACAAGTTAATTATTTTTACCGAATATTTGGGCACCAGCTACTGCGGTTTGTTATGATAATAAGCTTTGTTTTGGTTTCTTTCTCTCCTATAGATCGTTTCCGCAATGTTAGTGCTAGATATATAATCTGTGATTATTCTATTTACGGACGTAGACATGTTATCTTTGACAGGATCAGTTGCTTTTAGCTGAACTCAACAAAGGTATTTTATATTATTCAGTTTTAATTATGTATTATATCTCAATCTTATTTAATTTTTTATCATTTTATATGTTTTTATAGTTATGACGGCTACTTCTTGATATTAATTTATTACTTAATATTATTGCGGTAACGATCTTGTCGGCTTTAATATTGCGACTAACACCCATGTCTGTTTTGCGCTGGTCTTTTACTTATTGTAATGCGTTCGTGTCGTTAAGCCTTGAGTTTCTTTATCACTGAAGAGGGGTCAGCCGTTGAGCCGAAACGTTTGAATGTTTTTTAAATTAATTGTTCATTTCAATAAATTTTACACGATTTCCTAACATAAGGAAGGTTGTTTTATCCATATGATATATAGCACTATTAGTCCTGTGCTTGAACTCGGATTGCTTTTTCCTACCTTTTGATTTATATCTTTATTTGCGAGTTCTTATTTCTTTCTAAATTAATTATTTTTATAAACAAACCAGACCAAATAAAAATAAGAGTGCAACGCTTGCATTACTTATTCATTAATTCATTTATATATGTATGAATTACAAACAATTATAAATCAGTGTTGTTCTTATCAGTGTTTATCTTGGTAATATACATCATTTTTGGTAGTAAATTATCATCATTTTTGGCAACAATCATCATTTTTTAATATATACATTAATTAAGAAAACTATGAGTATATGTTTCATACAAGTGATAATGTAATAAACGTATAAACGTTTTATATATTGCAGATAGTTCTTCAAAATCCTAGCTACTTAAATAAAAATGTGCTGTATGATACTTTGAGATTGTGGCTAGGAACGGGACTTATTACTGCCCCTGGTCAGATCTTGGAAAAAAACAAACTTATCTGTAACGTCTGTAATTATAATATGCAAAAAATACGTCATTATATTTTTATACAATGTCGGTTGGATGCAATGACATAATTTATTATATTAATAAAACAAAGTAGAGCATTTATGTTACACATACTCACGTTGAGCAACAGCATCTACTTTATTAATTAATAATATTTACTCATCTCAGTATCTCTGCCGTAGTAATACCTTGTAGTTTCTATGTTCAAATAAATGTTTATTAGAAAACACATTTTAATTTTTATTAATATTTTAATTTCTAATTGATATGTAAGCTTACATAAATGTAATATACATGTCCCGAACCTCCATGATGACCCTATGTGAGAACGTAGAACGGATTGAGGTGAGCAAGAAAGTCCTGTGCTATTTTGCGATATTCGCAATAGTTCTTGAGAAATTAATTATTTTGTCTTAACAAATCAGTGTATAGAAAGCGGCAGCGGAAAGAAAGATGCCTTCGGCCGCGTCGGCTTCCGTGCCGATCGGTTACAAACGACGAATCTCGCTGGTCGCGCCGGCTTTCGTGGTGATCGACTGGAGCCGACGAATCTCGCTGATTGCGTCGAACTGAGGCATTGTATATCGTCGTATGATAGTTTTCCTAACCTTAGTACTGATCAACTTTGTCAATTAATTTCTCATTTCACAGAGCGACGTTTATTTCTGCCAGATTCTTATTTTATATGCAAATTTATATGTTAATTGTTTATAGGGTTTTCGAGAACACTGGTCTAAAGTTGTTACAAAACTCAGTGAGATAAGTCAAGTATTACGTCGAAATTATTAAATTTATAAACTCAGATAGACAAAGCGTGCTGAACGCAGCATGCAGATCATTAAATGGATATTTGTTACTATTACAACACAACGTTTTTAAAATACAATTGTTTTAAGAAATACTTATTTATTACAACATAATTGTAATCAAAATACTCAATTTATATTTCTATAATAATTCTTGATTAATTGCAATCTCTTTCCGGCAAAATAAGCAGCATATTTCATGATATTACTTTCAAATATTGCGCTGCTATCTGTGGTTACATTCAGGGATGCCGATTCAGTTACATTTGCAGCACGCTGACAGCGCGTAGAGAGGGTGGCTTCCATGTATGCGTTCCCTGTCCGTTTGCGTCTCTTATTTCAGTCACACTTCAGCCGAAGTGAGAAGCGCACACAGATAGGGCACGCATGCATGAGAGCCATTTCTTCTATGACATTTCCTGTGAGTGTGCCGCAAAACTTCTTCTAACTATGGAGACTT